AAAAAAAAAAAAGTAACGATCTCTATATAATTTTTGTTGCTCTGAAAACAATGCATTCTTCAGATTTCACAGGAAAAGTCACTTTGTCAGTGAAGCATTTCTGACCCCACACTCATTCAATCCAAATAAATTTCCTTATGTTATGTATAAGTCATTAGAGTCATTCTTTTTTGTACCTGCATTTATCACAATTATGAACAAACATTCTGATGTTATTGTGTTATTATTTAAATTTATCTTTTCTTCCTCATTAAGTCAAAGCTCTATAATAGAAGATATGTGACTATTTTGCTTATCACTCAGTAACTGTTTATTGAGCGAACAAGTGAATAGTGTAAAAATTAAAAGGAATATATAAAAACAAATTAAGATAAATGTAATTAAAGAAGTAGAAACATTTCCAGCATTTGGAACTATGAGGAGTTACTGTAATAAAAACAAAATCATTATCTCTCTCATTTATACCTAAATAGAATAGATGTTGGATATGTGTGATTGGAAAACGTGGTATTAGATCATGGCCAAGCAAATTTGCTAAAACTTCATCTGAAAAGTTAAACAGACTTTCACGTAGAATCATTTGCAGTTATACAACAATAGGACTGCTACAGAGAAGTATGCCATTTTTCACATGGAAGGAAGAGACCAAAATAAAGATGCTCTGCAGAAGGTGTATCTAACTATATCAAAAATACCGATTTCCCCCAGTTATTTTTAAAATTTCATCAGTCAAATCAGTCCTAATTCCCTCAGAAAAGGTGAGAAGGCAGTGAAAAGACAATAGCTTTATTATATGGAAAATCATTCTAAATTATAAATATTCAATCACAGGGAAAGGAGAGTAGGCCTTATACTTTGGAGAGTATGCCTGAATATACTTCCTTTTACCCTTTCCTCCTTATACTCAGAAGAGGTCATATTTAGTTGGTTAAAAAAGGGAAATTACAGGAGAAATTAGAGTTACACAGCTGAATGGAACATTCCAATGTTTGGCTCCTGACACAAACAGCAAATTGAACTATACCATGCAAGAAAGCACCTCTGTAGGAACCAGAAAAGCAGTTGAGCAACCATAGTACTTGGTTATCATATCATAACAAAGAAAAAGGCATTGAAGAATGTAGGAAGGACAATTTTGCACTGTCTGAACTACCCCTCTGTGAATTCCAAGCAACACAGGGCAGAGAGAGTGTATGCTCTTGGGGAAGGGAGAGCAAAGTGAGTAAGACACTTTGCATTAGCACTCAGTGCTGCTCTGTCACACCAGAATACAATACGGGGCAGAATTCTGCTCGCACTTACAGCAAAAACCATCTACAGCAACCATGGGCCAGAGGAAAATCAGTCTCTCCAGTGAAATAAAACCAAGTCCTAGATGGCTTTGCTACCAGCTGACTAACGTGGCCTGGGGCATCAAATACATTTGAATGGCAGTCAGGCCACAGAAACTTCAGTCCTTGGTCAAGCCCTGGTGTTGTTCTATTCTCAGAGGCAGTGGACGGGGGTATGATTCAGTGCGGCACCAGCTGTGAAGACTATGAGAGTGCCTGCAGCACTACTCTCCCAACTCCAGGCAAAGAAGCTCAAGGAGATTCCTTCTGGTTGGGAAAAGGAGAAGGGAAAACAAACAAACAAACAAACCCAGAGGACTTTGTCTTGTATCTGTGGACAAGCTCACCCACAGTAAAATGAAGAACCAGGCAGATTTCTGAAGCTTCCAATTCCAGGCCTTTGCTCTTAGATGGCCCAGAAATGAATCCGCTGTATAATGGGATGAACCCAGTCCTGGCAGGATTTCACCATCTGCTCACTAAAGTGCCCTTCATTCTTGAATAAACATCAGCAGCAGTCAGGCAGTACTGGCCATAAGCCTTGAGCAAGTCCCAGTACTGTGCTGATCTGGAAGGCTGTGAGCTTCACACATGACCCAGCATTGTGCCAGCTATGGTGGCCATGGGAGATCCCATGTTACTCTTTTCCAAACTCTAGGTAATGCAGCACAGAGAGACTCCTTCTGTTTGGGAAAAAGAGGAGAAGAGTGAGAGACTGCCTGGTAAACCAAGGAATTCTTTCATCTTATCTGAATCCACCAAAACTGTATTTCCAGGAACCTGTAAGGGTCTCACTGTTCCTGGGCTTAGGGTGCCCTTTAAAGCTAAAATGCCTGGAGTAACCACAGGCTTAGGTCACAGCACTCAATCCCTTTTGAATTCTTTGAAAGTTCTCTTAAGAAGGATGAATACAAATGAACACAGACTGCAAAGTTTGAAATAAATACCAAACTCATCAATGCCCAGATATAAATAATGGTCTACAAGCATCAGGAACCTACATGGAAACGTAAGCTTACCAAACAAATGAAATAAGGCACTAGTGACCAATCTGAGAAATACAGGGATATATCATCTCTCAGATAGAGAATTCAAAGTAGTTGTCTTGAACTTGCGCAATGAACTTTAAGATAATACAGAGAAGGAATTCAGAATTATGTCAGAGAAATTTAACAAAGAGATTAAAATAGTTTTCAAAAATCAAGCAGAAACTCTGGAGTTGATAAATTTGATTGAATAACAGAATAATTTATCAGTCTCTCTATAGCAAAACTGGTTAAGCAGAAGAATTAGAACAAAAACAAAGACTTCCAACCTAGAAGAATGAACACTGTAGAGTTATCATTCAAACATGAAGGAGAAATAATGAAAGAAAGAAAAGAAAGAAAGAAAGAGAAAGAAAAGAGGAAGAGAGAGAGAGGAAGGAAGAAAGAAAGGAAGGAAGAAAAGAAGGAAAGAAGGAAAGAATGAAGGAAGAAACGAAGGGCTGAAGATTTTAGGGATTTTCTCAGCACTAGACATGTTTCACAAGAAGTGTTAAGGGAGTTCTTCAATCTGAAAGAAAAGATTGCTAACATGCAATAATAATTATCTGACGTTATAAAACTCATTGGTAAAATTAAGTGCACAGACTCCCAACACTGTAACTGTGGTATATAAGTCACATATATCCTGAGTAGGAGAAAGATAAACCTATCAAAATAATAATGACAACAATTTAAGAGATATATAATATTAAATATACATAGAAGCAACAAAACATCAGAAAGCAGGGAAATATAGTTAAAGTGTAGAGCTTTTTAGTTTTTTCTTTGCTCATTTTGTTTTTTCTTTGTGATCATAGTTAAATTGTCATAAAATAATTTGTTATAAGATGTTACTTGTTAACTCATGGGAACTACAAAACAGAAACCTATAATAAATAAAAAGCAAGAAATTAAAATATAGTTCCATAGAAAGTCACTGTTATATAAAAGGTGACAAGAAAGAAGGAAGAAAGGGAGTACCAAAAAAAAAAAAAAAAAAAAAAAAAAAAAAAAAAAAAAAAAAAAAAAAAAAAAAAAAAAAAAAAAAAAAAAAAAAAAAAAAAAAGAAAAAAAGGGAAAACAAAAAAAAAAAAAAAAACCAGAAAACAAATAACAAAATTACAGTAATAGGTTCTTATCTATCAATAATAACAATGAATATTAAAGGACTAAATTCTCCAATCAAAAGACACAGAGTGGTTGAATGGATAAAAATAAAATCCAACTAGATGTTGTCTATAAGAAACTCAATTAATCTGTAAAGACACAAATAGACTGAAAATGAAGGAATGAAAAAACATATTCCATGCAAATTGGAAACAAAAAAGGGCAGAAATAGCTATACTTATGCCAGATAAAATACATTTCAAGAAAAACAAACTAAAAAGAGGCAAAGAAGGTCATTATATAATGACAAAGGAATCAACTTAGAAGGAAGATGAAAAAAATGTAAACATATATGCACTAAACACTGGAACACCCAAATATATAAAGCAAATATTATTAGAGCTAAAGACAGAGATAGACCCTAATACAATGATAACTAAGGACTTCAACACCCCAATTTTATTACTGGACAGATCATCTAGACAAAAAATCAGAAAATAACAGCAGCTATGGTACATTCTATTAATGTCTGTTAGATTCATTTGTTCTAAAATGCCAGTTAAGTGTGATATTTGTTTTCTGATTTTCTACCTAATCTTCACCACACAACATAGAACAATTTCCAGGATAGACCGTGTGTTAGCACACAAAATAATTCTGAAACATTTCAAAAAATTAAAATTAAAATAATATCAAGTATCATTTCTGATTGCAATGGAATAAAACTAAAAATCAGTAAGAGAAACTTTGGAAACTATAAACACATGGATTTTAAACAATACACCCCTGAAGAATCATTGGATCAACAAAAATATTAAGAACATTTAAAAAATTTTCTTGAAATACAATATGTTAAAATTTATGGAATACAGAAAAAGCAATATTATGAGGGAAGTTTATTGCAATAAATATCTACATCAAAAAAGTAGAAAAAACAAGCACACAAAATAATGATATTTCTCAAAGAATTATAAAAGTGAGGGAAAACCCAACCCAAAATTAGCAGAAGAAAATAAATTATAAAGATCAGAGCAAAAATAAATAAAAATGAGAATTTAAAAATACCATGAAAATGACAGAAAAGTTGGTTTTTTGAAAAAATGAACAAAATCAACAAACTTTTCGTCAGGTTAAGAAAGAGGAGAGAAGATGCAAACAAATGAATTTGGAGACAAAATAGGAGATTACAACCAATACCACAGAAATTCAAAGGATTATTAGAGAATATTATAAGCAACAATATGCTAATAAATTGGAACGCCTAGAAAAAAGTGAATAACTTCCTAGACAAATAAAACCTAACAAGAATGAACTATTAAGAAATCACAAACCTAAATAGAGCAGTAACAAGTAACAATATGACAGAAAGGGAGAAAACTTTTGCAATCTATCCATGTGACAAAGCTCTAACATCCAGAGTCTGCAAGGAACTTAAACAGATTTGCAAGAAAAAACAAACAAACAAACAACTATATTAAAAAGTCAGCAAAGTGTGTGTGTTTTAGGCCTTCTTTACTTTGTGGCTGAAAGTTTATCTTATATATGTCCAGCCCAAGTCCTAGAATTAGCCATTTCTCTAAGAACATCTGATATCTTTTATTGGACAACAGTATTATAAACGAAGATTTGAGTGTTAGGTGAGATCACTGCCATTGGGTTTTTATTTATTTTAGTTCCTTGAACTGGCAGAGCACAGATATAGCTGTTAGAAACCTAGCTGTAACCATCTACCATCCATTTACTTAATTGTTCAATTCCTGTTAACATATTTAGCAGTATCACAATTGTTCATGCATATTCCCAAAGGCACAAATTTTATTGACAAGAATATATTGCTTACATGCAATTTATTTTGCCTTTTGTGTTACAGACCCCACTCATTTTCCAAGTTAATTAGGCCATTACCTTTGCCACCATGTTTTCCATTGAGACTGTTTCATGCATTTGTTATTCATTTATAATTTCTTTGTCACATTCTGAACTTTGCCCTGGAATCCTTTGACTTCTTAAACCATCCATCTAAATTTGCATATACTAAGGTTCCACTCTGCTATGAAGTGGGTTTTGTCAAATGTATCATGACATGGATTCATCATTACAGTATCATACAGAAAAGTCTTACTGTCTAAAAAGCCAGTGTTCTTCTCCATTCATCTTTACCCTCCTCCACCAAGAATCTCTGCCTTCACAGGAGCAAATGCTGATACTATGTCTACTGCATTTGCTAGGAATAATAAAGCTTCTTTTTCTCTGAGCCAGAGATCTTGAGTTTTCTACCTATGAATGGGTAGCAGGAGAATTTGTAAACTAGCAACTTTTATAAAATTTAAAATCCCTTCTCTGCCTTGACAATGAAATACACATATTGAATTAAAATACATAATAGAAATAAATATGAAACATTTAGCAAATTTTTTAAGAATACACAGAAGTGTATCTTCATGACTTTGAAAAATGTCTTAAACAAAATACATACATAAAATTAACTATAAAATAAAAAAAAAAACCTACAATTCAATTATATCTGGAAACTTAATTTCATCAGCAAAATGCAGAATGGGCCTAAGGAAAATTTTATAATTAGTATTGCCAGAAATAGGAAAGGAAAGCAGAAAATACTTTTTTAGTTTATGTCATAGACATG